CCCCCCCCCCCCCCCCCCCGCCAAAAAAATAAAATTTTTTTCTAGATCCGCCACTGGTTACAACATTTCAGTGAGTAGTGAGTCATTATTAAATTCTAATGTCATTAGATATGTGGTATGTCTAGGAAGTAAATCCAATAGAAAAGGACTAAGGGACTGCAGGGTGTCCTAAGATTTCATGCATATGGGTTTTAAAAAAACCATATTCAACTCCACACAAAATGGATTTTCAAAGATCCCTGGTTAATGCCATATGCATTGAGATTTCCTCTGCCACAGGAAGCCCAATCCATTCCTCCATCAGAAATATGATCATGTGCATTTCAAACCATACAATACCTTTCCCTGCCATTGCATCAAAACACCAACATTACGGTGAGGGTTGAGATTTATAATTTTATAATCTAACATGCCCAGCAGGTTGAGCTCCCTAGGGCCAAAACTTGGACTCACAGACCGGTATCTTTTTTTTTTAATATACTTTCAACTTGGGCCAGTAAGATTCGAACCTAGTTTGCTCTGCTACCATCTTAAGGTCTCTGCCACTGCACTAATATCCAAGAGAGATCTATAGAAATAAGATACTGGTCTATCAATTTCCAAAGAAGTATGGTGCTGGATTGCTTCTGAAGTTGAAGATGTAGCTTTTACATCAACTATGGTGAAGCAACTGTGCATGTTTATGTGGGAGGTGGCGGTTGATGCTATTGGTTTCATATCTAATTTCTTTTCCTTTTCTTTTCTTTTATTTCCCGTTTGCATATGCAAGTTTGTTTGGGATGGAATGAGTATGAGGGTTTAGGGAAGTTAGGCATAGAAAGTATATTGGAACAGGTTATGCTTGTTCAGTTCAACAAGAAAGGATGTATTCCAATGATGCAAGAAGAATAGAGCATCGAAAAAGGAGGTGCATAAGGAGTTAACAAGTAGCATGTGAAATTCCCAAGATGTCTTCTCACAAGAAGAAAATCCCTAGATGTTCAGACTTGCCCAGACAGTTATATAACATATACAAATGCCAAGATGCAAAATATTTAAAGTACTCATGATTGAAATACACATATTTTAATTCAAAGTTTTACCAACATAATAAGACTACTATTTTATTAAAAAAGTGTTGGAAACTGCATACGATATCTTCTCGGAAAATTATGTTGTGTGAATTGAAGTCAAAGTGTAACAGGTGAATTGAAGTACAAGTACTATCATTTAAGATGATCGAAGTAAAACTAAATATTTTGAGATCATGTACTTACTTTTCTTCTCCACCAGTACACATTAACCACTTTGAAGGAAGCATTTTAAATGAGCGTATTTTGGGGGGATGAACTGCAATGGTACAAACTTTCTGCATAGTTCTTATGTCAATTGCAGCGACAGATGAACCAGCAGCAACATAGCACAAAGTTTCATGACATTCCATACCAGCAGGTGTACCAGGAAAACCAACCGTTCCTACACATGATGAGGAACCTGAGGATGAAGCCAAAGTTGTGTCCCAAACTCGGAGCTAAAAAAAGAGAGAGAAGCATGTAAGTCAGATATGCCTATCTATTTATGAGTTAATTGTGAATAGACCTCCTGAGTGAACATCTTTTTACTCTTTTACCTGTAGGAGGTCTATTTGTCAAAAACAAAATTTTCATTCTTTGAGGATAACAGAGACAAAACAATTCACTCAGGCAGTCTACCTACAACAATAGAACTACAGGCAGTCTATTCGTAATTGGGCAATAGTACAGGGGGTCTATCTGTTAGTAACTTATTAACCCTATATTGGGAATAGTTACGAATATTATAGGTATGAAATAATGTCATGGAACTTTTGCATGTTAGATTGCATTTCTATATCTCAAAATGATAAAGGGAACACATGCTTAAGATTAGACTATTTAATGAAAGTATTTCCAATATCAAGTCAATATAGTTACCCTTGGACACAAAAGTTAAGATCATACAAATGTTGTGTGTATGCATGTGCGCATATGCAGATAGACATCAAAACTATGAACATGAACTATTAGGTGCGATCTTTTTTGACACCAAACTGTTTCTCTGTGTGCATGCAAACAAAGAGCACACACCCCGCCTGTGAATGTGGAAACAAACACGCACCTCTGAACACAGAAAAGACATGCACACACAAAAAAAAACATGTGTGCATGCGCGCATACACGCGGGTATATATAAGTCAGGTAGGCATCTTATCAACTAAAGCAATGAAGTCGCAAAAACAACATACCCTTGAATCTGTAGACATGCTCACCAGAAGAGAAGCCTTGTGTCTGTACCCCAAAAAAATAATAGTAAATAAAATAAAAGAGAGACCAAGATAGTTTTTCATGAGACAAACTGAATCCAAAAATATTATCAAAAAATGGCACAGAACATGGAGGTGGAAATGAAAATATATATAAGCAGTACATTTTAGGAAGCAACAAATTCAAGGCACATTTCTTGAGTACCTCGCTCTGGCGTTGTCTATTGTTAGTATTAGCTATATTAAGTTATGTTGGCTTCACTTGATATTCATTTCCGCACTTTCGTAAGTACTTCAGATGTACTCCCTATTTTTGTAGACTTTCTTATGCAAAAATATTTTGTTCCTTTCTGTAGGATGATTTCTCCATCCATTTCTGCTAGAATTTCTCTAGTACTTGAAAACATCTTTCCCCAAGGGCTTCTTCTTAATGTGGACAAGGCCAATAATGATATTAGTGATTTTTTAAAGATATTACAATTAACATAACATTGAACTGTCACTCCATTAAGTTGAAGAAAACAAGGATAAGCACAGACCGAATATTTTATCTTTTAACTATTTAAGTGCCAAAACCCCATTTACTTGCATGTTTCTCCAAATAAAAGTAGCAACCTTACATATAATCTAGAAAGCTTCTGCATCCAGAATTATAGCTCTCTGTCCATTGTATTTCCAACATCAACATCACTAGAACCTAGAACCCATAAACTTTTTGGCTAATAATTTCCTTGTGTTTGAGACAGCACCAAACTTAATTTGTGTTTAGCAGATGAAACTCCTTATATAAAAATATTTGGACCTTCATGCCTTTCCCATGATTCGGGCCTGACTGTACTTTAAAAATCCTCCCCTTTTACCATTCTGTCAACAGCCCGTTGGTTCATAAATAATATTACTTGTCTACGAACTTTAACTACTTGTATTATTTATTTAATTATTTATGTTTTAGAAAACACTAGAACATATTGTCTAAAATATGAGAACTTTCACGAACTACATAATTTTGACCCTACAGATTATTCAAAACTGCCTATAGTCACTCATTGATCTGAATCATCTGATTCGTTCAATAAATATGTTGTAAAATGTGAACTCTATTCTTAAAGAAGGAAGTATACAAGAAATAATATAAAGGTCCAATAAAACAACTTGTTTTGGTAAGCATTATTACCTTGCATAAACATAAAGAACCTAGAAGCAGTTGACATAAAGAATATAGGAGCTGCCTAAATTTTAAATTTCTGAAATGAAAATAAAACCTACTTAGCAGCAGATAGCAACGAAACTGGTTTCGCATGCCCATGGAATGTCACAATCGGATGATGCTTTCCACCAACCGACCAAAGGCGAACAGTACAATCTTCTCCTCCACTAGCAAGAACTTTTGATTCACAATTCCCTAGTAATGTATCCACCAAGGTGGTAACTGGTCCATTATGACCTTTTAAACAACGATGAGAACGACCCTACAGTATTTTAAAACAAATTTGTAAAGATAAGATCCACAGTCTAATGCCAAATCTACATGTTATCAACTAACACTGAGAAACCAATATGAAAATTGAGTTACAAACATCGTCAGGAAAAGATCAAATAGCTTAGCAGCAAACAACATGAAAAAGATAACTCACAGGATAATTCAGTTCAAGAGTTTTAAGCCAATAGGGTTTCATCAGATTTAAAGGCTTTAACACAGAAATCTGGATTATGCTCCGAGTTATCTAAGCATTTCATATTTTAAGTTTTTAAAGGAGACAGATACTACATGACAATAGAATTACACTCAAGATCGCCAAATTGGAATTCCACTACAATGTAGATTTTTTCCTATAGGATTAACGTTAGCTAATTATATAGAGGAAGCTTCTGAAAATTTTAAAATGTCTAACCTTTTGGTACCATTTGTACAATCACATCAATACAATTTTGAATGTGCTGACACATTTCCTGGTTTTTTAACTCGGTCGATTATAATGAAAAACACCATTAAAATCTGTCTGAGTGAATCTCAGGGTTACTATGCATCAACTTGCAATATCTAATATAATCTCACCTATCCTTATTACATTCCATATTTACAGCCTCCATGCAATCATCCTATGTCCGCGATCTTCTTCACCAACATGATAATTTAGGCGAATGTCCACAAGGAAGCTTCCTTTTCATGTTTTAAACATAATCCTAATAAAGGTGTGTAAGAACGTTGACCATTTTTCTTTACTGGCCTTATCAGTAATATCCTATTGATCTACCTCCAGTTCTTCATACAACTATGACATTCTCTTTGATTCATTTTAAACATAATCCTAATAGTAAGAACATTGACCATTTTTCTTTACTGGCCTTATCAGTACTATTCTATTGATCTGCCCCCAGTTCTTCGTACAACTATGACATTCTATTTGATTCATATACCCAATAATATTTACTTCCACCTGTATACGAACTTCATTTTCATGTAAATGCATTCTTGCTAGATCTCTTAGAAAAATTATCTTAAGTCTTGTTTACTGACAGGTATCATGAATTCCATACACCTTTATTTGAGTATTCTCCTAGATTCCATTCAATGTCTTATTTCCCCCCTCCTTATTTTATTCTAACGGGATGGCTAGGAGTAAGAGCACAAATGGCTAGCAGGAAAATCCACAATGCAGCTACATCAATAGAAAGTTACAGACTCCACAAAGATGCAGAGAAATTAAGGTAACATTTGAACTAACAGAGTTCAAATACGTCTTATACAAAGTGAAAGTTATACATTGAAGTCCAAGTAAAATCATATAGCAAAGTGAAAGTACGAATTTGGAGGAATGCAAGTCTCAGGTGAACAAAAGACTACTCATGCTTCATTGCATTATAAAAAAAAAAAGAAGAAAAGAACAGAATACATAGAAAACCAAGCAGGAAGAATGATAATTCCCAAGATAGAGAGGACCAGTTGCTCAGGATAAGTGTTACAAAGAATACCTTCCACCATATACGAATAGTGCGATCGGAACTCGATGTGACTAAAACATGTTCCTCATCCTGCATGGAACTTCGAAATAAAGATGTACCGCCAATGGGAAACAACCTGTAGATGAAAACTACCTTGTGGTAGAACAGTGAAATATGTAAATGAAAAGCATGCATACCGAAACAATCTGCAGTAAAACATAACATGTATCACAATATTTGCAGAATAATTACAAGTTTAATTTAAAACTGCACATTAATTTAAACTGCACAGATTTTAGCAAACGGATGCCTACTTAATGTAACAGACATAACTAGAAATATTGATTTTGGTAAAGCATTTATAAATTTCTGCCCCCAGGGAAATAAATAACTAGCAGATTGTAAATAGTTTTAGATATATAAACATGTGCATAATAAGTGATAATTCAGGTGACCACGAAGGTTCAGATAAAAGTTTGCTTAAGGGCACAGTTTGACACGGTTGATATAACATTCCTTCTTTCTGATTATCAAATAATGTTACCGGTACCGACCCTTGTATAGGCAATTTCAATGCACGTATTCCAATGACATGAGAATGTTAGTCTACCCATGCTTTCATTAAGGTCATTAATCTAACTTTTGTTCACAATAGTATTTAGCATTAAACCCTAAATACATGTGATTTAAACCCTAGTTAAAGTTGATCCCAAATGACATAAACCTAGCCCAAAATCATGTTAACACCCTTTTTAATCAAGTTTTGGGCAGCCATGAATGGAGAGGGAATTTTGCACAAAAAACGTCTCAATTTACACAATTTCCTTTTCCTTAATCATGTGGGAAAACCTATGTAAGCACTCAACCTCTCTTGCCACTCATTTCTTCCTTAATTCAAGGAAAAAAACCAATCCATCTTCCTCCCTCTTCTCTCCCTCTCTTGGCCAGCCAATCTCAGCCCCATACCCAACTTTTACATCATTTTTCTACTCAAAACTCAATCATTCCCTCAAATTAGATAGTAGAAGCAAGCAAAGGATAGAATTGCAAGGACCTTGGTAGAAGAGGAGTCTAGAGCCACAATTAGGTAAATTTCAACCCCGACCTTGTTTTGATGATTACATTGAGCTCAAATCTAAATTAATCATGGTTTTTGTTGATAGCTTGGAAAGTATGGACATAAAGCTATAGAGGTTGCATGTCGATAATTTCAACTCCAGCCACGTTTTTCAGTTTCCAGTAGAGTACTATGTTAGTATTTTGATCATATCTTCAACTATACAAGTCTTTTCAAAGGTATTCTATGCTAGAATCTGAATTCACGTAGCTTTCATTTGAATTTTGGTCAATTTTGGATATCATTTGCTATTTTTATTGGTTGAATCCAATGCATGCACACTGGACAAACAACATAACCCTTATGTAATATTTTGCACATAACCTTGCCCCTCATTTGAATTTTCTAGGCAGGATCTTTGTTTTAGAAAATAGATCCATCAAAGTTGTTTCAGTAAAAATTTTATCAATTTTGGATCATATTTGTCTGACCAAACTCAGTGAGAGACTTAAGACATGAATATGCAATTCATACGCTGTTACTTGTTGACAACTATGTACTCCTAATGTCATATCCCGTGAACATTATGCACATTCTCCATCCAATAGATGACATGAAAAGTAGACTTGACTGTGAACATTTCGACTCTAGTTTCATTGAATTCGGACATAGTTGGACCCTCAAATAGTTACATGTATCTCCCAACGCAATCTCTATTTCCAGTCTGCACATATCACACACTCTTGGGTATAAAATAGTCTCTAGATGTTAGGTTAATTAATCAATTGATACCCTGAAAACTAGACTCATATAGAAAGATTTTGACACTAATTTCAATCAAGTCGAACAATGTTCGTTTACACTCTTCGCCATTGCAACCTATGACACAATTGCTATCCTTGCCGCCCATTCATGTGCATGCATCGCATATAGATTCATGTATATCTATATCAAGCACACATATAACCTAGTCGTGTGGCCACTTCCATGGGTGTACGTGTATGTATATATAGGAATGACCCTCCTGAAACCAATCGGCAGTACTGATGAGTTCATCTCAAATGATAGGTAACCATTCTCATGTTTTCTCATAATATTGGTATCTTTTTCTATGCAACTTGTTTTTTTTTTATTCCTAATCTTTAGTTGTGTGAATATCCATATTTGAGATGTTATCGACTGATACTCTATACATATTGATTATGTCATTTGACACATTTTCTTTTGCATAATAATTACATGTTTGGCAATATCAGATGATGAAATCATTGTGATAATGATGCTCGTATAATTATTATCGGTATGCTTCTCTTTTATGCTCTATTTCGGTTGACCAATGCCCTACGTGTTGGTAACATTTCTTTGCTCACTCTCAATTCACTGAGAATTCGGTTGTTTCTTTCCTTGTGAATATTATGTGTAGGAAACATTTCTTTAATCCCTCTCGATCCGTTGAGAGTTCAGTTGTTTTCTTGAAACTTTCATAGTTTTAATTAGATATTCATTTCTATACTCTATTGCCTCCGCAAAATCCAATTGTAAATGCTTCATGTGTTGGTTGATTGCCGATTACGTGCTTAAACCTATAGCCTTCATTAATTGTCAATATATGCTATTGAAACTCCATGTTTGATTATGTTGAAATAGTCACTTCTTGATTTGTGACATGTTGGTTTCAAATAAGTAACAATTGGTTAATTGCAAGTCTTGTCTTTAATTAGCACTCTATATTCATGGATATTACCCAGGAAACTCATCGGCGGGTGTTTATTTGGATATCTCCCTTTACGCGAGGAAACTTGCTGGTGGGACATTACATTTTAGAGAGGAAACTCACCGGTAGGTGTTTTATTGATGGCATGTAACGAGTATATTTTGGGGGCTATTACATAGTGGTATTAGAGTACAGGTTAACACCTTAAAATTCCAATATAGACTACCAAGAAAACATAGGATTAGATAGAGTCGGTATCAAACATCGATAGTAGAGAGATTACACTTAGATAGCATTCATGTCTTACCTATATAAATTGTAGATAGACTTAGTATCTTGCATTAGCTAATGGATGGCTTTTGGCAAACATAGATGATTTGCATTCATCTGATTTTGGAATAGTGGGGCCCACTAGTAGTGGAGAGGCATGGACAACTAGTTCTGACGATTAAGGGTACAACATTTCTGTATTCTGATAGTCGGATACCATTACCGGTACTGACCCTTGTATCGGCAATTTCAATGCAAGTATTCCAATGACATGAGAACGTTCATCTACTCATACTTTCATTAAGATCATTAATCTAACTTTTGTTCACAATAGTATTTAACATTAAACCCGAAATACATGTGATTTAAACCCTAGTTAAAGTTGATCCCAAATGACATAAACCTAGCCCAAAATCATGTTAACACCCTTTTTAATCAAGTTTTGGGCAGCCATGAGTGGAGAGGGAATTTTGCACAAAAACCCTCTCAATTTACACAATTTCCTTTTCCTTGATCACATGGTCAAACCTATGTATGCACTCAACGTTCCTTTCCACTCATTTCTTCCTTGATTCAAGAAAACACCAATCCATCTTTCTCCCTCTTCTCTCCCTCTCTTGGCCAGCCAGCCTCAGCCCCCAAAACACATCTCTTTCTTGTCATTTCTCTACTCAAAACCATCGAATATCAACCTCGTCTTTGTTTTGATGATCACTTTCAGCTCAAATCTGAATTAATCATGGTTTTTGCTCTGGATAGCTTGGAAAGTATGTACATAAAGATATAGAGCTTGCAAGTCGATAATTTCAACTCCCGCCACGTTTTCCAGTTTCCAACAAGATACTCTTTTAGTATTTTGATCATCTCTTTTTTTGAACTAGTCTGTTTCAAGTAAGGTTTTCTATTTTAGAATTTGCACTCATGTAACTATCATCTGAATTTGATTTGCTCAATTTTGGATATCATTTACTATTCCGAATCTATGGTTGAATCCAATGCATGTATACTGAACAAACAGCATGACCCCTATCTAATGTTTGGCACATAACCTTGCCCCTAGTTTGAATTTTAAAGGAAGGATTTTTTATTTTTAGAAAATAGATCTATCAATGTCATTACAGTAATAATTTTATCAATCTTGGACAATATTTGTTTGACCAAACTCAGTGAGAGACTTAAGACATCAATCTGGAACTCATATGCCATTACTTGTTGATAACCATGTACTCCTCATGCGCTATCTTATGAATATTATGCGCATTCTCAATCCAATTGATGATCTGAAAAGTATACTAGTATGTGAACATTTTGACTCTATTTTCATTAAATTCGGACATAGTTGGACCCTCAAATAGTCGCATGTAACTTCCAATGCAATTTGTATTTCCAGTCTTCACAAATCACACTCTTAGGTATAAAATAGTCACTGGATGTTGGGTTGATGAATCAATAGATGCCCTGAAAACTGGACTCGTATAGAAAGATTTTGATACTAATTTCCATCCAAGTCAAACAATGTTCGATTACCCTCTTCGCCGTTGCAACCTATGACACAATTGATGCCCTTGCTGTCCATTCATGAGCATGTATCGCATATACATTCATGTATATCTATGTCAAGCAAACATATAACCTAGTCGTGTGGACACTTACATGGGTGTACGTGTATGCGTATATAGGAACGACCCTCTTGGAACCAATCCCAATTGATCGTACAGAGGAGTTCGTCTCAAACAGTGGGTAACCACTCCCCTGCTTTCTCATTCTATTGGATTCTTTTTCTATGCAACTTCATTTTTTTGGATTCCTAATATTTAGTTGTGCGAATATCCATATTTGAGATGTTATCGATTGATACTCTATGCATATTCACCCGTGTCATTAGACAAATTTTCTTTTGCATAATAATTATATGTTTACCAGTATCAGTTGATGAGATCATTGTGAAAATTAATGCTCGTATAATTATTATCAGTATGCTTTTCTTTTATGCTCTATTTCGGTTGACCAATGTCCTATGTGTTGGTATTTACTCACTCTCAATTCATTGAGAATTTGGTTGTTTCGTTCCTTGTGAATATTATGTGTAGGTAAC